CAAAGAGACCAGATATAACTGCTGTGACAGTTAATTACACACTTAGCATCTATCTAGGCATCAACAACCTGAAACATATCTGAAAATTTATTTCAAGGAATAAAGATAAAAGTCAACTAGATGAATGAGAAGCTTCATACCTCTAAAAGTCTTCCTTCTGAGATAATACAAATGCTAGTAATGTGTTAGCATGATCGAAGTCAAACTAAAGTGAACTTACTTTTTGCTTGCCTCACAGACGTCTGTAATATTGGAGAAAAGATGATGACTCTCTGTTTTGGTCATTGTATCACTCAGTTCTTTAGAATTTTTAAACATTCGTATCAAGATCTCCAAGCTAAGTAAATATGAATGTTCGGAGGATATGACTTCAAAGATAGCCTGAGAAGAAGGAAACAAAATATATTATTAATTCCTTTAATTGAAGAACTAAATATAGATCTCATAATTCTGCTTTAAAATTACATAATATCTTGAAAAGTACCAAAAGATAAGCATTAAGAAAAGTAAGGCACTAGTACCCAAACTGTGAGAAATAATGTCACTGCCCACAGTGTAAATATGAACAAATGAAAGCGTTTGGATGATTTGAGATTACATCCTGAGGCCATGCTTTGCCAGGGGATTGCAGGGGGGTGGGGTATCTATGGAAGGAAGCTAAGGCATGTCATAAAATCTCAGTGTGACATTAATTAACCTTTGGGGTCATCTCCTCCAGCCCTGCTTTCAAAGCATGCTGCTCTGAGACAGTAAGGATTTATGAACATCATTTGGGTTCAGAGAAAATTTCTCAAAAACACAGTCCTTGCCTCTTCTCTCCTGTAGGCCCTTTCTCTATGTTTTAATCTGACTCATTTGCAGTCAACAACAGTAAAAAGTCTGGGTGTATGAAGAGAGCATAACTGTACTTACCCTTCTCTTATCAGCCATAGGAATTCTTTTATATAAACTCAGACAAATTGAAAGTAATTCTGGCAGTTCAACAAGCCGCCATCTCTGCTCTCATCAGTCTCTCAAGGAGCAAAGGACACTCTGCAAAACCTCCTGGTGTCAGGCACACAGTGGTTTTCCTGATAAGAGCTCATTAATGATGAAATGCCAACCCATACAGATGGATGGACACCAACACCCTGTGTAAGGAATTAATTCATCTAGCTCTTTAACAAAATCAACTTCAGATCCTTGAAGAATGGCAAGGCAGAGAGAATTCCTGCTCAGAGATGGGTGGTGAACATTTTTGCAGGCCAGAGATTGACATCCTTCTTGGAGACCTCCCCAGTAACACTGCCATCACCACTTTGGCCTCCAGAGCCTCAGGTACCTCAAGCCCTTGGACCAGGAGAAGATTCTTTCTGTAACCCCCTGTGCTACTGCTGAGGCTGGATGGGAGCAGGGCAGCCACAGGCAGATAGCAGCCCAGCTGCTGGTGGGTGGACCACATTTGTAAGTCAAATTAGTGGTGCTCATCTCAATATTCAGCTTCCTTTTTAGCATCTATAGCTTTTAGGAAAGTCTTACTTAAATGTGCTGCTCTAGCCTTGGTTGTGCTCCAGGGATTTAAGTGATATAAATATATAAAAAGTAAAGAGTAAGAACCCTTAGAATCTCACTTAACCTGTATCTTGTGTAGTTCTATTAAACAATTATCAATCAATCAATATGATTATCTCCAGGAAATGTAATGCAAACTAAAGAAAATTGTCACTTCCTAACCCAAAATAATGGATTTCTGGTTGTTGATATACTGCCTTGGAATGACTTAAAATATTTTCTGAAGTAAAGGCTTTTGTAACCAAATCCGAAATACTAAGATTCAAACAAAAAGATATAATGACATCTATACAGAATGATACAGAAAGAGAGACTAAATAGTAGTTTAATTTAATAGGTTTAAAGTAATAATTATTAAAACACCTTGCAATAGAGCCATCAACTATTTAAAAGCAAATCAGTTTACACCGGCTAATAACAGCTATGCAGGAATAGAAAGAACCATAAAGTTAGATTTGCTGCTGTCACTACTTTTTTAGATCACAAATCTGAATAAATATTTTCAAAATATAAGAAAAATGGAATAGGTTCAAAGAGAAAAGATTTAAAAGAATAGAAATGTTCAAATAAAATTAGGACCCCGGTTATGCTCTTGAATGTGTTCACAAAGAGAGAGAAACATTGTGTATGCCCAATGTTAACAAAGAAAAAACATTATCTTCCGTCCACCATTTGGAAAAAAGATTTTTAAAAAGGTGGTATCTATGAATGAATGATTTAGATTAATATGCACTGACATGGATAAAACTCAAAAACAATGTTGAATGTAAAAAGTAAATAGTGAAAAATATGTTCAGAATCATACCATTTATCGACATTTTAACACACATATACACATAGATGTATTTATGTACATGTAATATGAGACTTAAAAACACAGATTGGAAGGGTTATGTCAATTCATAATTATAGTTGCCTCTGGAGTGGACTAGGGAATGGGCCTGAGGAGGAGAATATACGACTTTTACTTTATTGAGTCTTATTTTCTTTACTTTAAAAAAATATGAACAAAAAATTATAAGTGTAATACATTTGTTAATTGTCAGGGCTTGATGCACCAATGTTATATACTATTTTTTCTTTAAAACTTAAAAAAAAAAGGCACTATAATGTGCTCTTATATTTTTGCATTATTCCATACCAATGAAATAAGAAAAGGATACCTCATGACCTTTGTGGAATTAATTTATACACATGTATATATATAAACTTATATATATATATATCTCCATATTGATATGCATAAGACAGGAGGAAAGTACTTTGAGAACCTCACAATATTACCATGAGCAATTTTCTTAAACTGCATGTACTTACAGTTCAAGTTGTAAAACGCTATTAACATGTTTTATTTTTCATTAAGTAAAGTTTTATCTTAGTATAACTTTAGATTTATAGAAATCTTGCAAAGAGGGTTCAGAGTTCCTGTGTTTCCTTCAATCCAGTTTCCCCTAACTAGGGTACATTACATAACCAGAATACATTATATTTTGTCTATAGACAAATGTAAATATTCAGATTTCACCAGTTTTTCCACTAACAGCCTTTTTTAGTTCCAGGATCTAATGTCTGTTTCACTTTTCAACATATTTCTTCCAGTTTAAATACCTGGACTAGGTACTTATGGCTTAAGTTAACTTTGGAATATTTTTAAATGTTCTTTTCTGGGGGCTTATGTGTAGTTTTATTTGACAATGATCACATACTTCTTTTGTAAAAAGACACATTATGTTCTTTTATACGTGTATTCATTTTATATGTTTTTAAAGGGAAACACTTGAACAAGTGCATACAGTAGGTAGAAAACATACCTCTTGTCTCTTTCTTTCCTCCTGGCTAACTGTCTGAGATAATCCATTTCTTTTCACCTAAAAAAATAAAATAAAATAGTTTTGAGCTCATTCACTTTAACAAACAATTTCTTTATTATATAAGGCATAACTCTAAGCTCTTCAAAAATGAATTAAGAGAAATTATGCAAAACGTTGAATTTGGCACATACGAATTTTGGGGTGTCACATCCCTCAAATAATATTTAATCACATTAGCAAATTATTAACATAACAGTTCAACAATAAAGAATTGAAAAGAGTCTAGAACACTATATTCTATCAGGTTGAGTTAATCTGTTCTAGTCTTAGTTCTGGATATTCCTAAAATACTTATCAAATTAATCTCCCAAGACATAAGTGCAGAAATCTGATAAAGAAATGAAGCCACCACTCTGAGATTTTACTGTCTAGGATCACATACTAAAAGGGTAATTTTAACACCATTTTTTAATAAAGACTCCGTGGAATACTAATGCTCTTTATAACAACCCAATCAAAGAAGAAAACAAAGTCCCCTCTGCCCCAATTTCAGCAGTCTTTCTTGATGTGGAGAAGTAACAGTACCTACAAGAACCAAGAATATCAGTACCATACTTAGAGTAACGCAGTTGTATTGTTTGTTGAATCGGTGGCATCATTATCTCGACAGCCGTACATTTTTTATTTGATTGCTGCAGTTTCTATCATAATTCTGTTTCTAAACCACAGAGCAGAAGCTGAACTATTAACTCCATGAAGGGAGGATCTACTGTCTCTTCTGGGACACCTGACCCTTTGTCTGACACGTGAATGACATTCATGTTTTTCAGTCAAAGATTAAATTAGCAAAAAGTAAGGCATATGTAAAATACCAACCAATTAAATCCTGCACTTAAGATAAAGAACTGTAAGCAAGATAGTGCCTACACCTTGTGTTAAAAATTAATAGCAATAAAATACAACAAATAAAAATGCTTAAGATAAAGAACTGTAAGCAAGACAGTGCCTACACCTTGTGTTATAAATTAATAGCAATAAAATACAACAAATAAAAAATATTGATAAAATATAATAAAAAATAAAGGCCTTCAAAATTTTTGCTATCACACTTCTAATTTTTTTTAAAAAAACCATGTTCCCCTGGATCTATTTTTAAATTGACACCTCAAATTTTGCAGCCCAAGTTTAAAAAACTTTAAAGATGCATTTTCCTACTAATTGTCAGTCTAGACATTTCTAAATATGTGTTTAAACTATACTCTTTTAAATGTATCCAATAGAAGGTAAAAACCATACTGATTTGATATCCGCCATCATCCATTTAAAAATAAATAAGTTTCCTTTAACAGTTGGAGATTTTACACTATTCTTCTTTCTCCTTGAAATCAAATTTCTATGTCAATTTTCCTCCCAAATTTCCTAATGTAATACAATTCTATGTGTTACAGTATGTTATTAGTCACCCTAGTATACTTTGAAGCAAAAATTTGTTTTTAAATGTAATTTTCTAATATTTCCTGGGACCACTGAGGTTTGAGTATTGACTCCTGTGGATTATATAATCACCACAAATATCATCAATAACCTCTGACCAAAAAGACACCATTACTTTCAGTTTTAATGCATTAAGCCCAAGAGTAAAATATTACTGAGAATGCAATTCTCAGTAAGATTTGGGGTGGGCGGGGGGTATGGTGGCCCAATTAAAGGAGCCTTCACTGCAAACAATATTTGAAATTGATCCCCTTTTATCTTGTGCCTCAGCGGTTTGACACTGTGGTAACGTATGCAGATGCAGCCTCAGTCCCAGAAAAGAGAATGACTAGGAGTCAAGGATCTGGAATTCCTGTCCACCTCACACAGTCTTTATGCGTTTCAGGGGCGGGATGCATACCCTAGTGTGAAGGCCTCTGTGGATAGTCCTCTGCATTGTGACTGCTATGGAAACAAAGACAACTCCATGTTACTGTCTTTAACCTTTGTTAAAAGTTAGAAAGTGGTATAAAAATAGAAAAAATCCTACATCAATGGTAAAATCAGCAATCATTTACTGAACGTTAACTATATGCCAGGAAATGTGCTAAGCATTTTATACCTGTTTTCCCATTGAATCCTAGAAAGTTGATAATAGTCTTATTATCATAAAATCTCTAGAAAGTTGATAATATTCTTATCCTCATTTCACAGATGAAGATAACAACTGAGGCTTAGGATCCAAGATCTCACAGCTAGTAGGTAGCAAGGCCAGGATCTGCATCCGCGCCTGTCCAACGCCAGGGCTCACACTTTCAATCATAATATTGCATGGTTAGGACCCCACGTCCCCCTACCCTCTATGAGAGGCATACCATTTCTAGGGTTGGGCGATCATCAGTAAAACTCTTCTAATGCCAAGTCTATATCAAGCCTCCATATGTTTTTTTTTCATCCACCCATATCATGGAATGTTCTTAGCTTTACCCACCATCCTGACCCTGGGTCAGCCTGTCAGCAAGAATTCATGGCTATAAAGGCTCCTTCATACACTTTAATAAGGACGGAGACTGGTGAGAAGAATGAAACCGTTCAGAGCTTCTCCCGTTTGGTTAACTCTGAGCAGGAATTTCACAGGATTTCCTGCCTGACACAAAGTCCTCGCAGATCGATATTCAGGCGCCATGCCCACAATCTCTGCAGGTGAGGTCATCAGCAAGAATTTCCACACCACTGGCATCTCTATCCAAAACTACTAATGAGTTCAGACCCGGAAATCTTAAGGGGAAGAGAATGAAATATGTGGACTTAGAGACCTATACAGATGACAGCTAGTTTACTCAGGGATTAAGAGTACTTCATCAGAACACAAATTAAAAAAGAATCCCCAGCTAAAGTATTTGCTCTTTTGAGGGGGGAAAACATGAAAAAGGCAAAGTACTAATGTGTATAGAATTACATTTTTTGCTAATACCAATACAAAAAAATTATAAAATATTCCTTTAACCCAATAGCCATCAATAAGAAACCAAGTGCTCCATACAAAACTACTGTGACAGAAAAAAAAATAAATAAATAAAATTTAAAAAAAAAATTAAAAGATTCCCAGAAGCATTGTTGGATCATAAGAAAACTGAAGTGCAACGCATTCAGGGAGTCTGAAAGTTTGCTCTGGGGGATTATGACAAACCAGTTCCTCCTGGCTGGCTGCCAGACCACTGTTCCATGCCTTGTCCTTCTGGCTCAGCCCTTCTATGGTCTGCACGGGGCAGGCTGGACAGGTTCTTCCTCCAGGGCCAAGAGGAATCATTTTGCCTACCTGAGACCTCCTTCCACATGTAATTCTAAATTAAGTAATACCTGAGAGCAGGTGCCTGCAAGTAGAAGGTCAACAGCAGGCAGGATTTCAGAGACTGGGGAGTTTGAAGAAATAAAACCAGAGAAAGAGGGAGAGAGAATGATATATAAAAAAAGGGTCCCACAAAGACTGGCAGAAAGTAGATAAGAGAAAACTAGAGGAGAATGAAAACAGGAGCAAATATCAAGCAGAATAAAAACAAGGAAAGAAAGGAGGGAAGAAAAGGAAGCAAAGAGAAAGAAAGATTGTGTGCCAAGTTTTTAATAGTATATACCTCTGGGAATTTTCTAATTCAAAAACAGCAAACTTAACAGTAAACTTAAGTAAAATCACTAGAAGGTCCAGACACTTTTTTGCATGAAAGAAAAATATATGTAAAAAGCATATATTTATACTTACAGTTTTAAATTTTATATGCTTTTTTGCAATTTGCACATTTTTGCTAAGAAAATCTAAAATATTATTATGTTTATGCCATTTTTTCTAGTGCTCCCCTTATTTCCATGTGCAGAAAAAAAAATATCAGCTTCTAAAACTGATTCTTACTGTGCTATCTAAGATGAAATTAAAATTGTACAGACTCCTTTTTTAATTTTTAACATATATATTTCGTATTGGCAGCTCCGGCTGAGTACAAATGGGAACATGTAGACAGTCACAGCAACACACTCATTTAAAGGTCTCTTCTAACCTCACTAGATCTTTCTTATTCCTCACTGTCTTGTCCTGGCTTAAATTTTTTATTTAACTATGTCATCAATAAGTAGAATTGTCAAAGTAGTTTAATGAAACACTGAGAACTGAGATTCAATTTGGGATTCTTGATTTTGTATAATCTAACCAATTCACAGAACTATTCATACCTTGCCATACTCATTTCTAGACTATAAGGAGAGAATATGAATGCATGTCAGTATCCCCAACATGTTAAGTGAGCAAAAATCAATTCAAACAAAACAACAGAACTAAAGCTCAAGACCACAGTTCTGACATAAGTTAAAAAATATGAACATATATAAGTGGCTTATCAAGATAGTGAATGCAAAGAACTCAGTAATGTTACAATAGTTTTAAATTTGTAATTATATTTTTACCCATGATCCTTGTAACTGATATATATATATTCCACGTCCAAATGAGAAAGAATTTGACAACTGGCTGCAACTAATAAAGAACAGTATAAGATACTTCATGCATGCATATGCTATTGTCTAGTTAGACCCAAAATATAGTTTTTGAAGTTTATAAAAGCATAAACTTCCTAAAATATAGACCCAAAAGTTAACTATTAGATACTCCATCTAAATCTCATGCTGGTTTTCTTCTTCATACCTGGCAAAGCTGATATTCTTACATGACCGACCGTTCTAGGAAGGCAGAGGCTTCAGACAGATTCCATTCCTGCACTCACCACAGTTACGGAGATTCGTGTCAGGAAATACATAAACTTTGTGCAATATCCATTGGCCTTTGACTCCACTGACTGGAATAGGTTATGAGCCAAGTTCTCTAAAACCCAAAAGAGCCCCAGCATTGCTATATTTATATAAAGTCTACCTATAGGTCCTGTATCTGTGGAGAGAGCCACAATTAATAACACCATTCTCTTGGCTGACCAGATCATCATTTTCTATGGAGTAAATAATGACATCTTCTCTAGCCCTCCAAGACTTGATATTGTTTGTAGATAAGATGGGTGTACATTTCTTTTATTTTTCCCCGCCAG